CGACCGTTGTGAAAGTGTGATAGAAAAATTCAGGCAGAAGGGAAGACCATTAACTACCACGAGGGAAGCCGAGACAGATAGTATAAACAAATATGTGCCACCTCTGGAATATCGATTGGTGGTAAGTATAAACAAATATGTGCCACCTCTGGAATATCGATTGGTGGTAACGGTATTCATTCAGAGGAGCCTCAAGAATGAGTAAAAATAGCTAGGTAAACACCTCCTGAAACAACACTGAACATAAAGGAAAACAACTGAGTTCAGCTTGCTCGAAGGAAAGGGGGTGTTAAATGCAAATTCCACGACTGCATATCGGGATAGTGATGCCAAACCACAACCTACAGCCGCTGAGTGACTTTGCAGGGAAGAAAAAATGAAGAAAATTATGGAGACCACCCTAAAGAAGGACCTGACAGTCCAACCGTACGAATTCTCCGGACCTGCTCCTTTCAGGCCAGCAAAGGGATATCCTGCCGCCTCTAACTCATCAGGCGTTTGTTCGCGTCATCCAGTGCTTATATCATGCAACATTGAAAAAAATGGTGTAAAAACTGGACTGACAGAATAGCCTCTGAGATTTGGTGGGCGAGGGAGTCGTCAGAACTGCTACTTATGGGGGCCGCAGCGCAAATGTGGGAACATCACAGAGACTGTGGACCAGACAACTTGAAAATGACGAACTCCTACGAATGGTTGAACGCGGGGACTGTCTTTGGAAGGATCAAGTGATAAGATCTCTGCACTTTTTGAATGCGGCACGCACACCATTTCCTCCAGAGTCATGGCGACACCATAAAGTGGCCCACGCAATTACCTGTATGTCACTATTTTTATTCTCCTACACCAATCTTTTCATGGAAGCCCACCCGAGGCAAGAGATGGTTGAGTTGGCCCTGACGGAATTCAATCCAAGGGCCAATCTCCTACCTTGCGCTCGCTAGCAGCGACTACCAGGGCTCGGTTGCGCTCTATGATTGCACTACAGTATCGAAGGAGCCACGCAAACGTTCCAAGAAGAAAAAGAACAGAAAAGCTATCATTGTTGATGAGAAATCGTTCTCTTAACACGGCAACAAGTCCAGAGCAATTCTTGATAACACATCGATTGATGTGTCATAGGAAACATGAAATTCCTCGACTCGCAAATGATCACCTATCAGTGTTCTTGTGATAGACTTCGAGACGCAATCAGTTAATGAATCACTTTTTATCGTATCTTCAGCAAAGACGTGCAATAAACTCCATTACACTAGGAAAAGTGGCAAAGACTGGCAAAACATTTGATTT